AAAGTTGGCAAATTCAGCAAACTTTTTAAACTTGGTCTAATCTCTAAAAGTTGTATCTTGTGAAATGTTTGACCTAAATTTAATAAAAAAATATAATTTTCAACCAATTTAATTTCGAAGGATAACATCGGTAGAAAAATATTAATAGAAACTTGTAAAAAAATAAATTAAAGATAAAATTTAATAAGAAAACATAAAAAAGATGTAATTTAATGAGAAAAATAAAAAAATAATAACAAACAAACCATGATGAAATTATAACCAAGACCCTGAAACCAAGGCTAAAAAATATAAATGGTAAGGATAATGTGATAATTCTATTATTCTATCAAATATGAAATATAAAAATTGAATTATTTTATTCAATAATTATATTAATAATTTTATTATATATTTAAAAAATATAATTACTAAAATAACCTCATATAATTTCTTAAAAATATTTATATCATATTAAAAATATCATCCCACTCTTAAAGCAAGTACATAAGACAAAATGATAAAGAGACCATGAATACAATTGCAGTGAACAATGTCATTTTTTTTATAACTAAGTTACCGTTTATTTGTTGGAAAGTAATTTTTTTTAAAAATAAATTATTTTTTGATGTTTAATAGTATAATAAAAAATAAATTGGAAAATACTTTCTAATTTTTGGTTATGTCATGGAAAATAAGCTGGAAAATAACTTCTCATTGTTTTATTTTTCTCAAATTTATTAAAATAATAAGGAACAAATCTTACAAATTAAAAAAGTTGAATGATAATGAATTTAAAAAAATATAATTTCATAAATTATCTTAAATAAAATAAATAATAATCAAAATAATAAAGATCAAATATAAAAAATAATAAAAATAAAATACGAAGAAATTAAAATAATAATAATTAATATTTCATAAATTATTTCAAATAAAATAAATAACAATCAAAAGAATAAAAATAAAATTTGATATATAAAAAATTTAATAAAAAATGATAAGAAAAAAATAAATAACAATTATAAAAATAAGGACGAAAGTTAATATAAAAATTAAATTTTAAGAACTGAGATTGAATAATAAATATTCAAAATAAAATATATATATATAGCAATTAAAAGTTTAATAACCAAATTTGATATAATTAGTAAATAATATAATATTTTTAAATTCTTTATAATTTTTAAAATCAAATATTTTTAAATTTTTTATAATTTTTAAAATCAAATTTAAAAAAAAAACACTTTCTTGTAAATTAAACCAAATTTTTTTTAATTAGAATATATTTTTTATTGATTTTTTTTAATAATAAATAAATATAAAAATATTTAAAAAATTATTTTTTGAGAAAATAAAGATCTCGTAGCTAAAATTCATACGAGAATTATTGTTTTAAAAAATAATATATCAAAAAAATTTTAATTAAAAAATATTTTATGTTGATTATTTTTTTAATAATAAATAAATATAAAAATATTTTAAAAATTATTTAAAAATAAATAAATATTTTTTAGGTAAAATTCGTACAAGAATTATTATTTTGAAGAATAATATACCACCCTCCTGGGAATCAAGAGTATTCTCTTCTCAAAAAAGGAAAAAGGAGAAGAAGGAGAAGAAGAAGAAGCATCCTCGTCTAGCTGTCAACTTATGATGGTATGAAAGAGTGGGCCATAATCAAATCTCCAAGACCCCAAGGTGAGATGTTCCCCCAACCTCAACCTTTCACCAAAAAGCAGACACGCAAATACAACACAGCCACATCAGAAGGCACGGATCGTTAGTAAAAACAGCGGCAGTAGTGGTCCAGATCCAGGAAACTTACACACTGTTTGTTTCCTTTCACAGCTCAAAGAATATCTCTTTTACCACTTATCACCCTCACTTCACTGCACTAGATCTTAAAAAAACTATACGTCCTTGTCGCCAAAAGGCAGCAAGATATTGGTGGGCTATTTATTATTACTGAGATGGATTGAATGGTGACATGCTCTTAATGTTGTTGTTGCTGTACGGTTGAGTATTGCCTGTGTCCACATACATAAAAATTTTAAACAGACAGGAGTTACTGAGGAATTTGAGATCCGGGGTTGCTGTTTTGAGTGGAAAAATATGGGAAGCTCTGAGGAGAGGGTTGTTGCTGTCATCATGGTCGGTGGACCTACTAAAGGTATCATTTATTTTTTTTGTTCATTCAATTGCTTAATCACAGTTTGATTCTATATTGGAATTCTCAATTGTGATTCCTTAATTGTATGCGATACAGTTTAATGCTCATTTTACGGCTCCATTATCGGACTTTTTCCTGGGTTCTTCTGATTTTCTCGATATTTGTTGTAATTTTGATTCTTTTGGTGCAGATAATGAAACCCTGTTCTTTGTTTCTTTGATTTTTTTTCTTCATTCAATTGAGTTGAAATCTGAAATGTTGCAGGCACTAGATTCAGGCCATTGTCATTGGATATTCCAAAGCCTCTTTTTCCTCTAGCAGGACAACCAATGGTTCACCATCCAATCTCTGCTTGTAAGAAGGTATTTATTTGATTCCTTAAAGAAATTATTCTAATCTGTTTGTTTCTTAGTTAGCATAGCATATTTTAAAGTCATTGAGATTGCATTTTCTGTTTCAGATTCCAAACTTGACACAGATCTATCTCGTTGGTTTCTACGAGGAAAGAGAGTTTGCTTTGTATGTTTCCTCAATCTCGAATGAGCTGAAAGTGTCTGTTAGGTAAAGTGACTTGATGGCCTTTCTTGATTATTTGCTTCTGATTCCGTAGTTGATTTTTTTTTTTTGTAATTATCAATCTGTGCTTGTAGATATTTGCGGGAAGATAAGCCACATGGTTCTGCTGGCGGGCTTTTTAACTTCAGAGATCTAATCATGGAAGACAACCCGGTTTTCATCTCAGCTTAAACTTTTCTATTAGCATGCACTCCTGTCGCCTATTTTACAGTATTTCTTTGCATGTTCTTATGTGAACATGCGGTAGTTGCTAGCATTTTCTGCAGATATAGATGGATGGTTTGTACTCGAAAATTCAGTTCTGATGCTTGTTTATCTTGCCGCAGTCCCATATCTTTCTGCTGAATTGTGATGTTTGCTGCAGTTTTCCACTCCCAGAAATGCTTGGTAATCTATTTTGCCAAATTGGATTATTTTGAACTTCATGAAATTTTTTGAACTTGTTCGTAAATTCCTCTTCAGGGTATCATATGCATCCTCGTGTAACCATTAATTTTAGATATTTCCATGATTATATCGAGATAAATAAAATGGTCTTAGCTACATTATTATATTTTCGCTAAGGTTTCTTTTGTCTAGACAGTTTGTAGTTTATATTTACGTAGCAGAAGCATTAATTACTGTATTTCCCCTACAATGCTCGCAGAGGCCCACAGAGCATATGGTGGGATGGGAACTATCCTAGTAATCAAGGTTAGTTGAATGCAAAAGATAATAACCTAGGAAAATTGTTCAGAGTTTGGTATTCCAGCAATAGGATGTACTCTGTTTGTCTCCAAGATGTTTTAACTCCATTATTGTTTTCTGCATGCAGGTCTCAGCTGAGTCAGCCAGCCAGTTTGGGGAATTGGTAGCTGATCCTGACACCAATGAGTTGTTGCATTACACAGAGAAGCCTGAAACTTTTGTAAGTACATGTCCAGAAACACATTTTATTTAGGGAATTTCAGCACTTTCATTATTTGCTCAAATGATTGATTAAAGATGGATCTGATTCAACTTTTTAAGCTTTTTTTTATTTTTACTATCTTTCTTGGTTGTTATCCCCCTTTTTTTTTAAGTAAAACCAATACATATAATCTGAAGGCATGGTCATTGAATTTTGACAAGCTTACTTCTGCATTTAAGAAGTTTTTGCTTAGGCTTGATAGCAAAATCTTATTTTTTTTATACTTAATTTTAGTACATAACCAAACATCAATTTTATTTTATTTTCTTTTATTGAAGTACAATTGGCTTAAAATTGCAGTGAAGCCAATGGTGATTTCTGTTACTGTTTACTGCCATTCACTTCATTTAGGCTTTTCCCCCATTTTTATTCATTTGATATTATGTTTTGATGCAGGTCAGTGACCGGATAAATTGTGGTGTTTATGTTTTTACACCAGAAATATTCACAGCCATCCAGGGTGTTTCTTCTCAACGGAAAGACAGAGGTATGTGAGTTCCAGAATTATGTGGTTCTTTTCTTTAATAAACTAGTTTAGCCTGTATCGGCTTTTAACAAGGGTGCATTGTGAAAATCTGCATCAACTAAAAATATTCTGACCCTAAAGCTTGGCATGTCCTGGCTTGTTTTTTTAGATTGTGATAGCATTCTCTGTAATTATCGATAGTTTGAGTCTTGATTTTGGAAAATTCTGAACTCTGTTTTACCATTTTCAGCTAATCTGAGACGTGTTTCTAGCTTTGAAGCCCTCCAATTTTCTACAAGGTATGTGGTTCATACTTATTGTACTTTTTCATCCCTTAATCCTGGAATTAATGACTGTAGGCTGAGCATTGCTAGTATAATTTCACTTTAAACTATTATGATAAATTTATTGAAAGGGAGTTGAACAAATGTTTCACCAATCTTTTAATATACCACTTTTTTTAAACTCATTAAAGTTGGCAATTAGTTTTGAAAATACATTTGGCCTCTTAACTGGGATTCTTCAAACAATCCATAAGATGCATAAGCATCTCATGGATTGTTTGAAGAATGGACTGTTTGAACAATCCATATGCATCTGCAGTAAGTCATTGGTTTGAAGACCATCAATTACAGTTCTTGTGACTAAGAGTGGATCTATTTTATTTCTTTCTTTCTTGGGCCTCTTTAGTCGTTGAATTGACTAAAATTTGGACTTACTCATGACAATAATCATATGTTTGTTTGCTTATCTATGTAAATGAGTGACTTGGAGAGTTAGTGTTCGAAATGTTCTCTTGTCACAATTGATTATTTACTGGCATGGGATTTGCCAACCACATCATGAACTTGTATGAAGAGTCAAGTAGTCAACAGGTCTTCAGTGTAACAAGAAAATTCAATTTGTACACCTCAATTGGAATACAGATTCCCTGCAGTAATATGAACTTTATCGTTTAAGTTGCAGTATATGTCCTCTCTCTAATATTACTATTCTGGGAGAGACATCCTTGATAGTTTTAGCCAAGTCCTGTTTTAGTATTTTCTTTCCTTTCTCAACGTGCATTAATATCGTTGTTAGTGCTCACTTATTGATTCGATAGAACCCGATATTTTCCATAAGTTCCTGCTTTGATCCAAGTTCCCTTAACAGGAGTCTTCCAACAGATTATGTAAGATTGGATCAGGATATCCTGTCACCCCTTGCTGGAAAAAAACAGCTATATACGTATGAAACCATGGACTTTTGGGAACAAATTAAAACTCCTGGGTAAGTCAATCTGTACATCTTATGTTAGATCTTCTTTGCTATCTTTAACCAGTTGCCTTATGTCATTTTCAACAAATTTATACTGCAGAATGTCTCTAAAGTGTTCTGGTTTATATCTTGCACAATTCCAATTCACCTCACCCCATCTTTTGGCTGGTGGTGATGGCTCAAAGAGTGCTACTATTGAAGGTGATGTTTATATACATCCATCAGCGAAAGTACATCCAACTGCTAAGGTAATCTTTTCATCTTGTTTATGATAACATATCTATGGGTACAAAATAGAACTGATGGCCAATGCAATCCTTTTTGTATGTTTTAGTTGGGGCTCCTTTTTCTTTCTTGTTCATAGTAGCAAGTACTGTTTTTTTATCCAGTTGAATGCTTACTAGTATTATTCGTACACATTAGAACTGTTAGCCAATGCAATCCTTTTATTACAATGATAGTCAGGGCTTCATTTTCTTTTTTTGTTCATAGTTTAGTCAGTACTTTTTTTTATCCGCTTGAATTCTTATCAGTATTCTTTTTGTCAAATCCCTTTATGGTGGTTAGGTGATGGGAATTAGGTGCATTGGCCTCTAGGTCGCCTTTAAAAATGTGAATAGTTTCTTTATCCATCTATTATGATGCAAAAGGAATGTTGGTTGCTTACTCTTTCCCTTTCGGAGCGCAAAATGATTTACAAACAAAAAATCATATTAAGATTCCATAAAAATTTGTGTCAAACAATAAGTCATAAAACTGCGGGTCTCACAGATAATAAAACAAAGATCAAGCATGAAAATGCAACCTCCACATCAGTTATTATGATTTCTTTGTTTCTATAGCACTTCTTCCTGTTTTATGTACTGCTTCTTTCCCTGCATATAATTCATTTATGAAATTGACTTTTTTGTGGAATGTGATGAAACAGATTGGTCCCAATGTCTCTATATCTGCCAATGCTCGTATAGGACCAGGTGCAAGGCTCATAAGGTGTATCATCCTAGATAACGTTGAGGTCATGGTAGGGAACTGAATTAAGAGATTTATCATGAATAACTTTGCTATTTTTATATCTTTTGGGGGTGAGGTTGTGGAGGGGCCCCTTTAGATGTCTCAAACTTGATTGTATGCTTCGTTTTATCTCTCAGGAAAATGCAGTTGTCATTTATTCAATTGTTGGGTGGAACTCTTCCATTGGGAGATGGTCCCGTGTCCAGGCAAGTTGTCAATCCTGTTATATTTTAGTTGGATGATTGTTGTATCCCGACAATATAACAGAGGCAGACATTATATTTGTATTGCGGAATGTTTCTCAATATCAGTAATACGATTCTAGTATCTGTTTCTTTTCCAAAGTAGTGTCTGATATGATGCATCTTTTTATTCTTATTATTACCACTGTGGTATATTTCCTTTATCTGCGGGCTTCCCTCTAATGCGTGGTAGGACTTATTATGTTCAATGAAATGATTACAGGCTGAAGGTGATTACAATGCCAAGCTTGGGGTTACAATCCTTGGTACATTTTTTATGCATTAACCCTATTTCCCTTTACCAGTCAATTTCTTTATTTTGTGAAGGACAAATTATTTCTCTGCACGATCTCAGTGTTCTTTTCCTTGATCCAGGCGAAGGTGTTACTGTTGAGGATGAAGTAGTGGTGATTAACAGCATTGTCCTCCCATACAAGACACTCGATGTTAGTGTTCAGGACGAAATTATTTTATAGTAGACCTGGAAAGCTCCGATTTCTGCCATCTCTCTTTCTTATACTGGGAAACCTTTTTTTAAAACATATATCGATTTGTAAATTGATATTTGCAATTTATAATATTAAAAATTTTGATTTCGCGTTTGACCTCTCCTGCCAAAGATTCGTGAACATGGATAAATTATAGTTCGTTATTATTTCATCAAGGCACGAGCTGTCATCATGTGTCGATAGAAAGATGATTTGTACTCCCTCGGCGATTAACTGTGCGATCGAAAATATATGGCTTTGGGTACACATTGTGCTCGAGCAGTAAAAACATGAAATCCGGATATGGCAGTCGATGCAACTGCAAGCCAGATGGGGAACATGCGAGAAAATGCTTCTCATCTATCTGTTGCAGATTTCCTTCACTTGAATCATAGAGCAATACAGATATTACTTTCTCCATTGTTGTCCGAAGATGTACTTACTTTCAAGGAAGACCCAGAGGACATCTGGGTGTTTGTAAATCTAACTACCGTAAGGTTGAGAAGCATTCGCCTTGTTCCTTCGTTGCCAGCTCTGCAGATTTCTTCGCTTTGAATTTATTTACCCTCTTTTATTCATATTCAATAGCTGGGAATCAAATATTAATTTACAATATATATATATATATATATGAGCAGCGACTCATAATAATGCAGTTTAACCAAAAGCAATTTACCGTGTTAGAAACTTATCTCTAATTTCATCTTTTATAATTCCCGACATCGTAAGAGCATCAAAACAGCAAGAAGACCAAGAAAATGTTATGGATAGGGAAAGGTCTGAGTGTATTGTCTATGGCGCTGCAGCTGCTGTCCCATGGAAACAAAATGGTATCTTGCATAACCGAAGCAACTTTGTAGCTAGTTAACCTAAGAAGAAAAGACGGTATATTCAAATTCATTTGCTTCGAAACATCAGAAAAAGAACATTGTTTGGCCATGCTAAGATGGTGCACGGGGAATATGCATCCAACCTGAAGCTATTTTTCTATCCTAAAAAGTACCAAAAAAAAGAACAAAAGAGAAGAAGAGAGAGAGAGAGAGAGAGAGAATGGAGTGTCTTATACTGTACTGGTAGCAGAGACACAGTAGTAAAAATCTACGAGATGTGTAATGGTTTCTTCCCAGCAACTTCCGTGTACCATGATTTCCATGCTTCCGTGTAGTGAAAAAAGAGATCTCTCAAAGCTGCAAAAATTATCAGCATATGAGCTTTTCATATTTTCCACACTTTTTGTTCCAAAGGTTCAACAAGACAAATGGATGGCAAGGCATATTAAAATAAACTATTAACTGACTAGCAATCAACACAATGGCATCTCAGAGGAAGCACGACCCCAAATTATCAGTGCTAGAAAGGCCAGAGCAAAACTGCGTGAAAAATGTGGATAGGCCTAGTAAATGGGAGAGCTGGAAGGACGAAAGGATCGCTCAATGGAGGCCTCAAGGGAATGGATACAGATATATAGCAGTCTGAATCGAATGGTTAAAAATTTATTTTAATTTACATGATTTAAATAAATCATAAATTAATATAAAAAAATTTTAGTTTTTATATTCTAAAAATTCTTATTTTTTCTAGATTTAATTTTTTATTTATGATAATTAATCAAAGATTATTAATAATAATAATTCTTTATTAATTCTTTAAACTTTTAATTTTTAAAATTTTCTGTAAAAAAAGAATAAAGAAAAAATTTCTAACTTGAGTTTTTCAAGTTTTACATACTTTTCTTTTATCTTATTTTTTGTATTTTTTCTTTGATTTTCATGTTTTAGTTTTTTTGCAAATTTAGAGTTTAGGTTCATCTTATTGAGAAATATTTACTTTATATAATTTTTAATTCAAAAATCTTGTTTAAAAATATATTTAAATCAAAACAGTATTGTTAGAATCTTAAAAAATAAATTGCAAATATCCTAATTGTACAAATAAAAAGTAATAAAGCATTAATAACAAAAAATTCATCATTAACAACAATAAAAAATTCATTACTTTAAAATACTTCAACAAGTAAATATCATTTTTATTTCAATTTAAGTATAATTAATTTTATTAGTATGCATGCTAGAATTTTTTATTTTATATTAATTACAAGTTTAAATATATACTTAGTATGTATATTAATATTTTATTATTTATTTTTTATGTTGAAATCATGTCTGTTTATACTTGTAGTTCTAAAAATGTATAAATTCTATAATTTTAGTGGACATTTTTTATTTAACATGTTTTTATAATAATAAATTAAATTTATTTGCTCACTAATATATATATATATATATATAGAAACTTTGATTTACACGAATAACTAACTTCAGTGGAAGAACAAAGTGATATGACCTCAGCAAACCATATTTGCTTTTCTTAAACACATAGCTTTACTAGCAGACCTTCAAACAATGGCCAATTGACAATTTTCATGCTTTCGGATAACTCAACAATGGAGTGATCAGCTGTCCATCTCATTGCATGATATCACAAGGAAACATGAAATGAAAGGCCGACAGACCATGGAGGACAGGTGTTTACTGTTTCATGCTGAACATGTATTTCTGAACCTAATCGTCAAATAATTGAATCTTGAAGTCTGATATGGTCAAACCGTTTCACTGAATTTTTTATGAAAGGATTATACCTTGGTTGTGGTATTGAGGACGGAAAGTAGGGGAAAGACCCTCCCAGTCATAGATCTGAGCCACTTTCTCTTCAGAGTTGCCGACTTTAGCTATGCTAACAGGAGTAAAAGGGCCAAACTGGAAACTTCCTGAGTTCTTTTGTGAATCCTGGCCGAAATTGTCTCTCTGAAAGATAGTTACAATATTCTCATCTTTTATTTGCTTCTGCATCTTCAGATTCTTGCTTTTATCCCCATCAACTGAAGAATCCGTTTTGTTTCTTTTAGAACATATGTTTGTGAGATCAGCTCCAAATGTCCTCTTCCTAGACTCAAAAGGAGCCAAGGGATCACCGGATCCATTCTCCGATTTTCCTCTCAAACCTAACCACCTGAATGCAGGTTTCCTTGTATCAGCAGTATGTGTCTGCACATCATTTAATAAATATCAGTACTTAAAAGAATTGTATTAGTTCTCGAGTAACAAAGGCTAACATGATTCCTTTAATTTTTCAATAAGCATTTGTCATGATTGCTTACCTTTTCAATAAGTTTTAGAGAAGAAAGCACATTTGCGATGTCATATAGCCTCCTTACTTTTGCTGCACAATCATATTATTCACAGAATGTAAACCAAAGAGCTAGACCACTAATTGCTTGTATCAAAAGTTGAGGAGTTGAGAAAAATTACTTCTCATAATTGAGGAATTATCGCCATCCCCGAGTAATAACTTGGCAGATTCATCGAGCGAGATCAAATTTGCCTGATAACAAAACACTCATAAGCACCTATGTAATAGATAATGGCTAGAAAATTTATTAAGACCTCATCTGACATTGTGGTTTAATCATGCTTTTACAAAAAATTAAAAATTTTTTAGCTTCAAATTTTTTTTTTATGTTTTTAAATTATTTTGACATGCTCATATGAAAAATAAATTTTTAAAAATAAAAAATATATATTATTTTAATGTATTTCTGAATAAAAAATACTTTGAAAAACACCTTTATCACACTCTAGGCTGTAAGAACTAGACTCATTTAAGATTTCACTCACGTTGAAGCACACAAAGAGCTTGACAAAATTCTGAGTAAGAAGCCCCAGCGACTTTTCCCTCCTATGATCTGTAACAAAAATAATTGAGCTTGGTTATAAGATGTTAAGAAAAGAAGATGGGTAATTATATGTGCACCCAAAATTTTGAACAAAACATAGGACTAGTTCCAGTTTGAAAAATCACAAGAACAAATAACTACAAAGACCTTTGAAAGTCTGTTAAGCTATTGCTTTTTTAAATCATATGCAAATTCTGTGGAAAAATAACCTACTTGTACAAGTGATGTAATAACATACGAGAGAGAAGAAAACATAAATACAGATGCTCATAGAAAAGGAGAGGACATTACCGAATCTTGACGCCGCTGTAGATTTGATAATACCAGAATTCTCATTCTGGCTTCCAGTGTTAGGATTGGAATCAGAGTAATCATCTTCATCCTCATCATCATCTGCAGCCTAAAAAATTCAACACACGAAAAATGGAGATTAACAAAAAAGTTCCCGACTAGAAAACAAAAAAGAATGAAAGAAGCCCTTATTAAAACACAGCAAGTTCATGAAGAAAGAATAAATAAACCCTTAAAAGTCCGCTTACTTTCACAGAATTATTGCTTTGCTTATCAATTGTATTGACATTATCTCTCAAACCCTCTTCCTAGAACATCATCAGCAACACAAAATCAGCCCAATTTCAAAAAACAACTCTTCATAAGAAACCCATATCAAGCTCAAATATACGGAACATAAAATCATTTTCTTTTATTTTTTGGGTTATTTCTACTACCTTTAATTCTTGTAGAGCTTTAGGGACTGCAGCGAATCCCTTCCATAAATACTTGTTCTTTGCTTTTCTTGCAAGAACCTTTAAGAACATCAAAAACCCGTATAAGAAAACTCACTAAAAAACATAAAAAAAAATTGCAACATCAGAAATCAAGAATCTCACCCCAACACTCTCCAAAACATTGACTATATCATAGATCCGCCTTCTCTCAACTCCTGCAGATCACAAACCCATTAAAAGAAATTAAAAATCCCACCCATTCAAAATACGGATCGATATTCCTAAATCATGATAACCAGAAAATTATAAAAATCATAAATAAACACCTAATTTTGAAGCAGCGTCATCTAGTCCAATCACGTCAATGTCATCTCGATTATACAGGGTCAAGAAACTGCACAATAAGTAAAAATCAATTCAATTGCGGGGGAAAACTATGGGTTTTTGAAAAAAAGAAAAGAAAGGAGAGATGGGTTGTTTACTTGGTGCATAAGAGACCAAGAGATTTCTGTTTCCTGCTATAAGTGTGATGCCTTGAAGAGGGATCTATAATATCACTGTAAGACAACGCCATTTTCTTTTCTTTTATGAATGCAGATCTGATGCAGTCAATGGAAAGATGGAGAAAATGAGGAAGGGAAGAGAGGC